AAGATGCCAGCATGCTTTACGCTATAGTGGCTGCTGTGGCGCCAACAGCACAGAGTTGCCAGACCGCTGGAAGTAGCTTAAAGGAATATAATAGTATTAAATTATTTGAATTCTTTGATGTTTTTGATTTCTTTCCTTCTCTTAAATACTTCTTTCATGTACATATGTATATTTTGTTTCCTTTTTAGTTAGCTGGCAGCTTAATAGTATGCAACTGTTATTGCTTACAACAGCGCCATCTAGTGTGCCTTTTTATTGCCAGGTAAAAACACTGTCTCAGACGTCGATGTTTTACTTGTTCATTACGAAAACAAACTTTAGGATATAAACAACTATTCAAAACACCATTCTATAATATATAACCTAAATTCAAGCAGATCACAAATATTGCATATGCAATACCAATTGCTGCGCCATCTAGCGGGCTGTTTTGTTGTCAAGCTAACACTGTCTTAGGATTCGCCGTTACGCATTTGTAATCTTCTTTTGATAAGTGCACGCCAAAATTCGAGCAATCAAACCCACACACACACAACATCAAAATCGCAGTTTAACGCGCGTAAAGAATTATCGTCATCGGTTTGTTTTGATTTGAATTGTTGCTGTTGTGGCTGCTTCCTGCGCATGTGCAATTCCAGTGAGAGAGTAAGCATAGCTGCGCGTTTCTGTGTGTGCGTGTGTGTGTGTGAGCACATGTGCCCCTTATCGCTTAGTTTTTTTTAGTGGTGGTGCGATATGGCAAACCGAAATTTGAGAGAGAGCACGAGTCGCAGCCGAGCACTCACATTTGCACTCACTCACACACGCACACACTCACACACGCACACGAGCAATTATGCTCAGTCGGCAAAAATAACCGTTCATTTCATTTTCCGCGTCATCGTTGGCATTTCATGCAGCAATTTCTTCAAATTTTCAATAAGACATTTCGCTGCCCACCATTAAAGCAACGGCTAACCAATAAGAAAATTGTTCTTTTTATGCAGATTGGAAATGTGCGCGATACTGCTTTGAATATTAAGCAGCCACGCCGTAAATTTAATGCCAGACATTCAGTGAATTTATAAAATTCAATTGACGAACTCTGCCGAAGAGGGCAGAGCAGAGCAAAGCACAGCACAGAGCGGCACAGCACGGCGCGGCTGGCGTAGCCTATAGTAACCCATCGTCATATACACAGTGACGCGGGCAGCGCTGCTCATTGTGGCAGCGATTCGACTGAGCTTCCTCCACCCAGCGATTGTGTTTAGGCAGCAAACGGAGTCCGAGACGACAGCAACGCAGCAAACGCAGCGGCTGTTCTTCCTCTTCTTCTTAATACTACAACTACTACTATTTGTCATTTTGTTGGAAATTTTGGAAACTTTGCAGTGCAATGGAGGAGCATTCGCGTGTTTTAAGCATTTTGGGCGGCATTGCTATGAGCATTGTCGGCTTTCAGATCTGCCGCAAAGTCTTGCCCTGGATTTATGCAAATGTGCTGGGCCCCAGGCTGTGCGGCCCCTCGGTGAATCTGGCCGAGATGGGCGAATGGGCAGGTGAGTGGAGCACAGCGAGGCGGCTGCCATTTGCACTTTGTGCACGGCGCTGCGATAAGCGTAGTTCACAGTAACTGATAACGTTTGCCCCATTACTCAATCTGTTAATATTTTGTTCGTCTATTGCAGTTGTCACCGGTTCCACGGACGGCATAGGCAAAGCATACGCCAGGGAGGTACGTACGCAAGCGAGGGATGCATTTTGGCAGTTTTCAATAAGATTATAATTGGAGCTAGTTGGAGCCAGTCTCATAAAAAGTGCAGCTTTAGCTTTAGATATAGGCTACCATTATGTCATGCTGAATGCGGGCACACTATATATATATTCCTGGTCAATAGAACAGATATGGTCATGCCAGTTTCATGAAACTGTTATACCGAATGTAGACTAGCGTCAGTCTTTTTTATTTGTATTGCTATCGGCCATTAATTACTTACTTTATTATGCTCCTAGCCTAACAGTAAAACTATATTATCGTACTAATAATATAAATAGGTGTAGAAACATTCGATTCGAGCTCTTTTATGCAAAAACTCTTAAAGAGGCTACATAATCTTTACAGTCTCTATAGATAGCAGTCAATGAACGCTTCGCTAGGGTATTTAACAACGAATATACCTGTTTTTTGCATATCAAAGTCTACAATGACTTGACCAATTCTGCAATGTAAAAAGCATATAAAATTAAACAACAAAAAATTTCTATAGAGAGTACAAAAAAGAGATGCAATTAACGATTTGCCAATTGAATATTAAGGCTAAGCTAGGCTGGGCTAGGGCTTAAACATTGCAAACATGACTCAGCTCTCAGTTCTATAGACTAAAGATCTCTGGTTTTTCAAACGCGCCAATGCACTTGGTTGCAATTTCGTCAAGTGCTAATTTTCTATTAGGCAGCTAAGTGCGATCACAGGTGACAAAACTTGGCAAATAATTTGTAGAGCTTTGTTTTCTGTTTGCTCAACTGCCCTGCAGTTGTTGACATTGCACTGTTCAATATTCAATATTCAATATACAAAATTCAATATTCAGCATTCAATATCCAATATCCAATATTCAGCGTATTTTGTGGTTCAGCTGCTGCTGTCAGCACGCGAATAGAAACAATTTGTTTGCTATGCCCAGAACTTTGGAACACACCAAAAAGCGAGTTGCGCCGCTTGTTGACACTGCGTTCACATATGATCTCTCGATCGCCTGTTCAGCTACACTACATCTGGGGCTTATGTTTCCCTTTCGATACAATTAGTATTCGATATACCCATTCAATTCTATTTAATTTCGTCGTCTTCCGCGTCTATATATATTTATATATACATATATATATACTACCTGACTTCGTGGGGTCACTAACAAAACCGTTTCGTATTTCAATTAGTTGTGCCATTTATTTATATATAGTCTAGAAGTGCTTGTGGGTTTACTTGCAAGTGTTACTAGAAAATGTTCGATATAATCTATTCTTATCATTTGATTTCTTTAATTTTACTGTCATTAGGGTTCTATTGATAAGGAAATTCCATTTGTATATGTAACACGACTAGTAGAGCATAAAAATTTTGTATATTGATTATATAAATATATTAGTTATACATTAGCTATAATTATATAGAAATATAGTTATAACTATAATATAGGACTTATATAGGAGATATATTGTTGGATATATATTATACATATCATCTACTTACTATCTACATTTATAAAAATTCCTTCATCTTATGTAGATCTTCGAAATATTATAAATATGCTGTATAAAACAGAATATCGAATATTTAGATGGATGTATACATGCTAAAGTAATCCTTAGTGTTACTCACATAGCCAAGATTTATAAACATTCTAAGCACTAACATCTACAGATCTTAAGCGACCTTCAATCTATCATAAAACTCAACTAAGTTATTGCATATTTATTTTCTAGTTGGCGCGCAAGGGACTGAAATTGGTATTGATTTCGCGATCCTTGGACAAGCTGAAAACAGTAGCCAAGAAGATTAGTAAGACATGCATATATGGTTAATAGTATAAGCCTGGTTTGTTAACTCAATTCTGTGGCATACTTGCAGGCGAGGAGTTCGGCGTCGAGGTGCGCGTCATCAATGTGGACTTTACCAGCGGCGTGGATATCTACGACAAGATACGCCAGCAGACAGCTGGACTGGATGTGGGCGTCCTGGTGAACAATGTCGGCATCAGCTATAGCTATCCCGAATACTTTTTGGACTGCTACAATGCGGATCCGAAGTTTTTGTGCAATATTGTTGCCGCGAACATACATTCCGTTACCCACATGACGGCCATCTTCATGCCAGCCATGGTGCAGAAGCGCAAGGGCGTGATCATCAATTTGTCTTCAACAGCGGGCGTCATACCCAATCCCTTGCTCAGTGTCTACAGCGCCACAAAGGTGAGTGGACTCATACTAGAGAGTCATACTAGATGTATTTAGCTGCCATATGATTTGTAATTGATTTATCCAATTGTGTTTTTGGCAGGCCTTTGTGAACAAGTTCAGCGATGATCTGCAAACTGAGTACAAAACCGATGGCATAATTATACAGAGCGTGCAGCCTGGCTTCGTGGCCACCAACATGTCGAAGATAAGTAAGGCGAGCGTGTTTGCGCCCACGCCTGAAACGTATGTAAAATCAGCTTTGGCGACGCTTGGCATTGCCACTCAAACTGCTGGATATTTGCCACATGCACTGCTTCAACTGGTCATACATTTTACAGAGGCTGTGTTCGGTGATCAGTTTGCTAGAAACGAAGTTCTTAAGAATATTTTAGGTACACGTAAGCGCGCCCTGCGTCGCCTCGCTAAGGAGCGATAGAAGCAATTCATTTCCATGTAATCATATCCCAAAAAAGAAAAACCAAAAACCAACAACAAACAAACTTCAAGGCCATTACGAATCTAAAAATGGTAAATTGGGCTAAGGATGGGGGGAGAGAAGCAGATAGGACTCGTGACGTTCGGGATGGGAAGGCATACAAATAAATTCTAAGTGATGCCTGCCATATGTGCCGCCATTTATATAGA